CCCCACTACCCAGGGAGCGGACACCGCATGACCACCTACCGAGGGAGCGCACACCTCACGCCCACCGACCCACACACAATAAATAAATAAATAAATAAATAAATAAATAAATAAATAAATAAATAAATAAATGTAAATAAAAGCAACACATGACCAAGCCCCCCTCTCTGTTCTCTTTTTCTTCTCCTGGGCCTGACATCGCACTGGTACTTGCCATTGTTGTAGTGCAGAAGAAGGTTAATCACTTTCCAGACTTTTGGCCTAGAGTAGCAGGTGGTGAGGGCAGTGAGTCTTGAGTGCCTAGATTCTATCTTTCCAGCACTTTCTAGTAGGGAACACCAGCGGCAGTACCCTAAGACTGACCCCCTTCCTCCACAGCAGCCTTTATAAGGAGGACCCTGGAGCTCTTCCTAATGACTCCCACGGCATACTCTAGAAAGCACAGACACGACTTCTGGTACGGGGGCTAAAGAAAGGTGGTTGTGCTCCCCTCAGACTCAGCTAATAGCAGAGAGGTCCTGAGTTTGTCTGAGGAAGAAGCCTCGCTGTATAAAAAGGAAAAAGAAGGACTCAATTATTGCCTAAATTCTCTCAAGCTCTAGGAGACCAACCAATGAAAGCCAGGGTGAAGTGGTACTCAGTTGTAATCTCAACGATTCGGAGCTAAGGTTGAAGAGTTGCAAGTTCAAGGCCAACCTGAGCTATATAGTGAGATCCTGTCTCAAAAGAAAAAAAAATGGTAGAAAAGAGAGGGAATGGGAGGGAGGGCGTAGGAAAGGAGGGAAAAGAAAAATAAGTCAAGAGGAACTGACTGAATATCAGGAGACACCACATGCCGTCCTGGGTCCCGTTAGGAAAGTCAGAAGGACATTATTTTACCTCATTGGGATAGATGAGACTTTGTGTGCTCAGCTCCAAGGAGTCAGTGCCAGGCGGACTCCATCTTTGCCAGCCACTGCTAGCCAAGTGCACTGCTTCCCTGCCTATGTCCCTCCACCAGGCGTCTACATGAGTCCCTGAACTTTATGTCCACTGTTTCACCTTAAAGAACTCCACGAAACACTATTAAAGAGAAAGTTAAGAAAGCTTGTGGTTCAGAGACTTACACCAGTTGATCAGGATTACGTGACTAATAAGTGAATTCAGCCCAAAGAATGATTCACTTGGGACCCTTACCCTCTCTTTGCCAGGGCCGGGGAACCTCCTCAGCTTCCTCTGAATCAGCAGCTGATGGTCAAAACGGTGTTGGAGGTGGAAAATATTGGGCGTCTCTGGAGCCTTTGCTCATCTTCAACAGTGACAGGGTGGACCTGCCCCTTGTTCCGTGCAGGTAGTGCTCAGGGTACTGATGGGCGAGTCATCTAGAGCCATTTCTTCTTTAGGACCATACACTTTTGGGGCGGTGTGTGGCATGGTAGCAGAAATCCCAGCTCTGGATCGCCAAAGAATGTGTTGATTCAGGAACATGTTTGTGGTGGCATTTCATTTGTATGTTAATAAATAAAGCTTGCCTGAAGATCAGACAAGTAAAACAGCCACCCTGGCCAGCCACACTAGCTTGCCATAGAAACCAAAAGGTAGTGGTGCACGCCCTCAATCCCAGAACTAGATGGATTATAAAATTGGAGGAGACAGCTCTCACACTCAGTCTCATTCTGAGGTTTCTCTCAAGGCAGGATCGCCATTTTCAGACTGAGGGTGAGGTAAGAGGCAGTGGCTGGCTGATTTGCTTTTCTGGTCTTCAGATTGAACCCCAGTATCTGTCTCTGAATTTTTATTAATTGAGTATCACATGTTTGAAATTATTAAGCACGTGGTGACACAGGTTGTTTGTTCAGGGCAATGTGCTGCCTAAATTGGACCGCATCAAACAGCCTCCTCCTACTTCCTCCAAGTCCTCCCCATTCCAGGGTCTTGGCTGTTACCCATGTATTCTGCCAAGACAGTTATTCTCTCATTCCCTCGGGCTGGGAGACTATCAGTTTGCAAAACTCAACCTGCCAACTGAGCTGTTTGCCCAGACTTAGAGGTCTCACTTTGGCCAGTTTGTGTGTGTGTTTGTGTGTGTGTGTATGTACCTAAGCCAGTTCATGTGTGTGTGTGTGTGTGTGTGTGTGTGTGTGTGTGTGTGTATACATAGGCACGTGCATCCAGAATTCAGAGGACTGTTTCTGGGAGTCACTTCTCTTTTTAAATCATATGGTATCCAGGGATTGAATCCAGGTTTTTAGGCTTGTACAGCAAGTACTTTTACTGCTGAGCCATTTTGCTAGCCCCTAAATTAATTTCTAAATTGTCAAAATGTCTTTTAGACAAGGTCTCATAGAGCCCAGGCTGAGCTTTAATTTGTTATCTACCCAAGAATGACCTTGAACTATCACTCCACTGGCCTCCAGCTCCCAAGTTTTGGGATTGCAGGCACACACCGCCACATCTGCCTCTTAGTTTTTGAATTAATATATAAACACATTAGTAACAAAATAGAAAAGACTATGCAGAGAAATATTTCTCTGGGCCCTACCTTCAGATCTCAAGTTTTTCTCCAACATGTGCAAATGTTCATTTCTGTGTATTTTTTCAGAGAAATTCATTCATACAAAAGTGGTTTGTGTGTAGTTTGTGTTTTTGCCCCGAGGAACATATTTAAATGGGGCATCAGGGACACTTGTAATTCTAGCTGAAACTTGAATGATAAGAAAGAATTGGGCATCTCTTAGGACAGAGAGGGCCAGAGGAAACAAGCTCCACCGGGAACAGAAGTCAGGAACAAATTCAGTCCTGGGAGCACTAACAGTGCTAACCAAATGCTGCCCTAGAAGTTGGAAACTCAACTGTGCCGCCGCAGTGTGCGGCACAAATTTAATGATGCCCTATCCAGGTGTGCATACTTCAAGCTGTGCACAAGAGCTGACAGAGAAAGAACACGGGTACACTCAACAGTGCCTCAGGGCAAGATGGCGTCCGCTTCACTTAGAGGCCTGAGGAGAAACTTCGAGGCCGTCAGTGCGACCTCGCGCTCCGGGTACTCCTGGGCAAACTCGCGTACACAGGAGCACCCAATAAAGGCTACAGTTAGGTCCCAAACCCGGGTCCGCCACGCCCTTCGCACCTGCGCGCTAGAGCCTCAGTCGGGTGCCAAGGACGCAGGCGCAGGAGGCTCCTCCTTCTGCGCAACTGACGCAAGGAGACTGTAATCCTTTTCGTAATTTACCCCGTGTGTCCTTGAGTCTTTACAGCCGCGAAGGGCCGGGGCTGTCTGAAGCACTGCCTGTGTGTTCCTCTTCCCCGTCTCCTTTTTCTCTGCTCCCGCAGCCACGGAGGCCGGTAGAGAGGACAGCACTTTTCAACAATCTTGTTGCGGGGCGTGTTCGCCGCGGGCTGCGATTTTGGGAGCAGCAGCCGTTCAGGCTCTGCTCAGGCAACGCGCTCGGCGCCTCAGCGGAAGGGGGGGCCTTCGTGCTGCGGCCGTCAATTCCCGCCCCCCACCCCACGTGGTTGGAGGTTTTTAGAAGCGTGGCCATCGCTGTGCCTGCCGCGCAGCTCCGGACCTGTGCGGTGTTTGCTCTCTGCTCTCGCGTCCCCTCCGTCCAGCCGCCATGATAAGCGCCAGCAGAGCCGCGGCCGCGCGTCTTGTGGGCGCCGCAGCCTCCCGGAGTCTGGCGGCCGCCCGTCACCAGGTGAGGAAATGCCTTGCTTTCTGGAAGGGGCTCCAGGCCCTGACTTGAGTGAGGTAGGTCTTGCCCTTCAGGGTCAGACTCTAGGAGAAATCCGGAGCGGAGAAAGGTAACGGACCTTCGGTGCTCAGGGCTGCTGGCCTTGGTCAGGACTTTAGCCTCGAGCTTTGCTGAGTCACAATCCATGGCGTTCTGGAGTCGCACCCACTAATTCACGAGGTAGCGGTCCTCCCCACCTGACATGGGGCGCATTGATGTGCTTGGTCCCAGGCAGCGGGTGTGGTCTATCGGAAGGCAGAACTATGAGCTAGGCTCTGTTTCCTAAAGAGCCGAAGGACACTTCCAGCTCTGGGTTTTTTTTTGTTGTTGTTGTTGTTTGCGTTTCTTTTTTTTTGGGGGGGGGGGGAGCGGCGGTCTTGAAGCAGGTTGTCTTTGTAGACCTGGCTGGCCAGGAACTGACCATGTAGACCTCATTAGAGACCCGCCCGTCCTTGCCTCACCTGTGCTGAGATTGAAGGTGTGCACCACCCACCACACTTGTCTCCAACCTCGGAGACTTTTTTTTTAATGTCTTCGATTTACTTGTGGATTGTAATAGAACAGGAAAAAGATTGTGGATCTTGGTCTGAAATAAGAGAAAGTACGTCTTTGAGAATGTAGCTCCCCAGAATAGTTGTTGACAAGATCATTGGAAGTAGCTCCGGTATCTTTTGGAGTGCAGGTATAATGAGGTTCAGGTGTGCGCAGCTGTGGGTTTGAGACAGGGTCTCACTATTTAGCCTTGGTTGTGCCGGAACTTACCAAGACCAGACCTGCCTTTGGCTTTCAAGTGTTGGGGTTAAAGATGGTTGCCACCAGGCCTGGCGACTGTGAAATAATTTTGAATTTTTTGCATAATGTCTCCTTAATTTGATCAGCAGCAGCACAAGTTGTTCCCCCACCTCAGGGGAATTGGGGGGTGGCAGGTCTGTCGGCTTCCGGGTTGTATTGACTTTGAGGGACACTAATTTATGGGCTTCTTGTTGGTAAAGAGCGGAGTTACTTCTAAGCATTCCATACTTAACGGGTTACAGCACAATAATGTCAAGGTTGAGAACCCTCTGTTGCACTGTAATTCCTTTTTTCTTTTTTTTTTTCTCTCGAGACAGGGTTTCTCTGTAGCTTTTTGGTTCCTGTCCTGGAACTAGTTCTTGTAGACCAGGCTGGCCTTGAACTCACAGATATTCCCCTACCTCTGCCTCCTGAGTGCTGGGATTAAAGGCCTGCGCCACCACTGTTTGGCCCCAGTTAGAATTTTTTTATAGTTTAAGACAATTTGCTTATTTTTACCTGACAGTCCGGAAAACTTGTAGATGTGTGTTGACATGTAGATCTTTTTCCTTATACATACTAAGTACTTTTCTTCTGTTTTTTATACAGGCTACTACTTAATTCTAAAGGTTGTATGTGTTTCTCAGTAATAATTGGAAAAAGTCCAAGTGTACTTGTGTAGTTGACGGATGATGCAATTTTTTCCCCCCCTCAGGATGGCTGGAATGGTGTTAGTCATGAAGCTTTTAGATTTGTTTCAAGAAGAGATTATGCGTAAGTATAACTGTAGTTTCTTTGGGAGAAAACACATATTAATTGACCACCTGGGCTGTGATCTATACATTTAAGTAAATAATTTTCCCTCTGTAACTTTATACTTGTAGTTTATGAAATATGCTGCTTAACACCAACATAAAAACAATTATGTTGGAGACTGTTAAGATAACCATGGTGTTTTAAATTTCTTGCAGATCAGAGGCAATTAAGGGTGCAGTTGTTGGCATTGATCTGGGTACTACCAACTCCTGTGTGGCGGTTATGGAGGGCAAACAAGCAAAGGTGAGCAAGATTGGAAGCTGGGGTCACTTAGGTTTCCTGCCTGACATCAGGTGCTTATAAATACTGAACCAAGCTGGGCAAGGTGTAACACACCTTTAGGCAGTGGAATCTCAGAGTTTGAGCCCAGCGTGGGCTATAAATAGAACCCCTGTCTCAAAATGAGGGTAGGGGAACATTGAATCAAGTTTGGTGCTGGTTTTTCTATTGAGACAGTATATATATTAGGCTATCCTCAAATGCAGATTATTCATCACTAACATTACAGGCATTAGCTATTACTCCAGACATATGTGCTTCTGTTTTTGCTTTTTATGGTATTTGTGTTTAGAGAAAGGGTTTCTCTGTAGCTTTGGAGCCTGTCCTGAAACTCTGTAGAGCAGGGTTGCCTAGAACTCACAGAGATCCGCCTATCTCTGCTTCCTGAGTGCTGGGGTTAAAGGCATGTGCCACCTCGCCTAATTTGCATTTTAAAACTGCTTTTACTTATTTATTATTTTTTGGACTTAGGAATTCACTTGGTATTGATAATTGAATGAGAATACAACTTTCCAGGATAGGATCTAAATGTGTTCTCTAGCAGTATGGGTGGTAATGCTATTAGAGGACTTGGAATGGCTATCTCAGCTTGGAGTTCAGCAGGTTTCAAGGTGTCTGCTATGGAGAGGCTGTTAGAGCCTCCTCAGAATGCGCAGATCTTAAGGGCACCTGTAATTCTAGAGTTGTCTGTTCATTCTTGACCCTTCATGTTTTCTTTTCCCATGCCCTCATCTGAAACAACTCGGGCTATTTACAGGAGTCTGGCTTACTGGATGCTAAGAGAAGTGAAGCCCTTCCTTAGTTCTAATTTATGCTGCTTATCCTCCCCCCCCCCCCCCCCGTCCCCATTTTCTGAAGCTTTCGCTTCCACGTGCATTTTGCATATTATTCATATTCAAGCTGGTATGATCATAGACTTCATACATTTGAAAGGATACTGTGTAGCATTCCTAGCAGTAAACATGCCAACTTAGTGTTATCCTTTTAGCATTTGTTTTATGATTTGAGCTGTGATTGTATCTTAAATCAGAGCTACAAAGATGTCAGTGGTGACTAGTATCTTAATCATTATCTTTGGTAATTTTAGGTCCTGGAGAATGCTGAAGGTGCCAGAACTACGCCTTCTGTTGTTGCTTTTACAGCAGATGGAGAACGACTTGTTGGCATGCCAGCAAAGCGACAGGCTGTCACCAACCCAAACAACACCTTCTATGCTACTAAGCGTCTGATTGGGCGTCGCTATGATGACCCTGAAGTACAGAAAGACACGTGAGTAATAGCAAAAAACCTAGAGTGCTTTGCTCGAGGTCTCTTTTTCATTATTGTTCCTAAAAGAAATTCACATCTCCGCCAAAAGAGTAAACAATTTTTAAAAGCCCATTTGTGCTTTCATAGACTAGGCTTTTTTATTCAATAACATGACAGGTAATATGTTAAGATGCATTAAGGTTTTTCAGATATTCCTAAACGATGTTCCTCATCATGTGTAAGGCTGTTATATGTCCTTACATTACATGCGTGTGTGTGTGTGTGTGTGTGTGTGTGTGTGTGTGTGTGTTTACTGTCCTTTCCCATTATTTTTATTTGTTTGAGACAGATTTCTTTGTGTAGCCCTGGCTCTCCTCGCTGGCCTTGAATTCTGATTAGCTTGCCCCTGCCTCCTGAGTGCTGGGATTAAAGGCATGTACCAGTGCCTGGCTAAGCTTTTATTAACATTTTTGTTTGGGTGTATTCATCCTCACAAAATGGGAGGTCAGAGTACAGATTCTGTTCTCCTGTGTAAGTCCTGGGCGTTAGCTTTGACAGTATGAGCCCTTATTTGTTAAGCCATCTCCTTATCCAGCTCTTTGGTCTGTCTCTTTGTCTGTTGTGCTTTCAAGATAGGTTTCTGTGTAGCTTGGCTGTCCTAGAACTCATTCGGTAGACCAGGTTGCCCTCAAACTCAGATCTGCCTGCCTCTGGCTCCTGAGTGCTAAGGTCAAAAGCCCAAACAGGTTTTTGGGTTTTTTTGCGGGGAGGGGGAGTTTTGATTTGGTTTGGTTTGGTTTGCCACAGTGTTTTTCTGTGTAACAGCCCTAACTGTCCTGGAACTAACTCTGTAGACCAGGCTGGCTCTTGAACTCAAAAGAGTTGAACTGGAGTTAAAGACAGTTTTGAGCTGCCATGTGGGTGCTGGGAATCGAACCTGGTTCCTCTAGAAGAGCAGCCAGTGCTCTTCACCACTGGTCTCTCTCTCTCTCTGGTCTTCAATAGAAATTGCCTGTAACCGAATAATATTCTATTACATGAACATATTTTTTCCCAACTTTCAAATGGGCATTTGAATTAATTTCACTTTGTTGTTTTGAGTAATGCTATCCTAATTATTTGTTTTTATTTTGGTTTGAGACAGGATCTCACTGTGTTGCTCTGGCTGTACTAGAACTCACTATGTAGACCAGGCTGACCTCAAATTCAGAGGTCTGTCAGCCACCTCTACCTAGCTCCTTTATTATATCATTTTTTAAATTGATTTTTATTGAGCTCTACATTTTTCTCTTGCTTTCTACCTGCCTCTCCACTCCCCCCTTCACCCCTCCCCCAAGGTCCCCATGCTCCCAATTTACTAAGGAGATCTTTTTTGTCTTTTTCTACTTTCTTCTTCCCATGTAGATTAGATCTATATAAGTCTCTCTTAGTGTCCACATTGTTGTCTAAGTTCTCTGGAATTGTGATTCGTAGGCTGGTTTTCTTTGCTTTATGTTTAAAAACCACCTATGAGTGAGTACATGTGATAATTGTCTTTCTGTGTCTGGGTTACCTCACTCAAAATGTTTCCTGGCTCCATCCATTTTCCTGCAAAATTTGAGGTGTCATTTTTTTTTCTGCTATGTAGTACTCCATTGTGTAAATGTACCACATTTTCCTTATCCATTCTTTGGTTGAGGGGCATTCAGGTTGTTTCCAGGTTCTGGTTATGACAAACAAAGCTGCTATGAACATAGTTGAGCACGTGTCCTTATGGCACGATTGAGCATCCTTTGGATATATACCCAAAAGTGGTATTAGTGGGTCTTGAGGAAGGCTGTTTCCTAATTTTCTGAGAAATCACCACACTGACATCCAAAGGGGTTGTACCAGCTTGCATTCCCACCAGCAATGCAAAAGTGTTCCCTTTTCCCCACAACCCCACAACCTCTCCAGCATAAGCTGTCATCAGTGTTTTTGATCTTGGCCATTCTTACAGGTGTAAGATGGAATCTCAGAGTTGTTTTGATTTGCATTTCTCTGATGACTAAGGACATTGAGCATTTCCTTAAGTGTTTTTCAGCCATTATAGATTCCTCTGTTGAGAGTTCTCTCTTTAGGTCTGTATTCTTTTTTTTTTTTTTATTGGATTATGTGATCTTTTGGTGTCCAAAAGATTGCCATTTTTACTATGTTAATTCTACCTACCCAGGAGCATGGGAGATCTTTAACTTTCCAATTTCTTTCTTCAAAGATTGAAAAGTTCTTGTCATACAAGTCTTCCACTTGTTTGGTTAGATACTCCGAGATATTTATGCTATTTGTGGCTATTGTGAAGGGTGTTGATTCTATGATTTCTTCCCCAGCCTTTTTATCATCTGTGTACAGGAGGGCTACTGTTTTTTTGTTTTTGTCTTTTTTTGGGGTTTTTTTTTTTTTTTTTTTTTTTTTTTTTTTGATTTTTGAGACAGGGTTTCTCTGTAGCTTTTTTTGGTTGCTGTTCTGGAGCTAGCTTTTGTAGACCAGGCTGGCCTCGAACTCACAGAGATCTGCCTGCCTCTGCCTTCCGAGTGCTGGGATTAAAGGTGTGCGCCACCACCGCCCGGCTTGATTTTTTTGGGTTAATCTTTTATTCTGCTACATTACTGAAAGTGTTTATGAGTTGTAGAAGTTCCTTGGTAGAATTTTTGGGATTGCTTATGTAAACTATTATATCATCAGCAAACAGAGTTTGACTTCTTTTCCAATTTGTATCCCCTTGATCTCCTTTTGGTGTCTTATTGCTCTAGCTAGGACCTCAAGAACTATATTGAGTAGATATGGAGAGAGTGGAGAACCTTGTCTTGTTCCTGATTTTCGTGGAATTGCTGCTTTGTATCATTTTTGAGAACTATTAAGACAATTTTTGAAATGATTTCAAGTCATCAGGCTCACATTTTTACACAATAGTAATTATAGAGATTTTTAATAAACCTGTCTCCAGAAATTATCGTTTATTGGCCCATCTGTTTATTTTTATAAATTGAAATGGATAGATACATGATGACATAATTCTTTTTATTTTTCAGCAAAAATGTTCCCTTTAAGATTGTCCGTGCCTCTAATGGTGATGCCTGGGTTGAGGCTCATGGGAAACTCTACTCTCCTAGTCAGATAGGAGCATTTGTTTTGATGAAGATGAAAGAGACTGCGGGTGAGAAGATTTAGTTCATTCTGGGGAAATTGGAAGTATTGGTGGTTCCTCTGAGTTTATAGACTCATGCCCTGTAGATTATGCTCTTTGCACAAGAAATGTAGGAACCGCAAAACTGTGCAGATGAAGTTTTTTTCACACTTCATCTGCAGGTTGAGTTTAATTTCCCTAATGATACAGGCTGGTGCCTTTTCAATAGGGGGCAGTATAGTATTTGTTAAAATCTGGAAAGCTACACATTAAACTTAGAGTCTAAAGGTCAATTGATGTTGGTAAGTCTTGGCTGAAATGCTAAAGGTAATTTGGAATTTCTGGCCAGTACCACCTTGGCTGCTGAGCTACACAAAATTACTCCCTCCATCTCCAAATAACTTTGTAATGGGGGAGGGGGTTGGCTGCCTTGAGCTTCTGGTACTACTGTTACAGCCTCTGAAGGACTAACAGTGGTCAAGGTGATTTGTTTCTGAGAATAAATTTCATACTGGAGTTTACGTTATCTTCAGACTAATTTTGTAGCCAAGGCTGGTGTCAAACTTAGGGTGATCTTCCTGCCTCAGCTTTGGAGGCCAAGATAACAAAAGGCATGAGCTGTGTAACCCAGGACAGCCTTAAACTCACCTTCTCCTGCGGCCTCCCTGGTGCTAGATTACTAGGGTATAATACAGTGTTCAGTGTTTGTCTTATGTGGCCTGTCTGCAGGTTAAGCTGCAAAGGAGGTGAGTGTTCTCTGTTGCTCCACAAGAGGATTTGAGGAGGAATATTAGGCTTTGGTAGTAATTTTGATGCTTTTTTTTTTTTTCCTGACATAGTGCCACAATTGAATTTTATTCTTTTCCAGAAAATTACTTGGGTCACACAGCAAAAAATGCTGTGATCACAGTCCCTGCTTATTTCAATGACTCACAGCGACAGGTAAGGTTAATTGTATCTCCTATTTGCCTGGGGGAAAAGTTGCCAGAGTTAAAGGATGGAAAAATACATTTATTTTTACTTTCTCTAGGCCACTAAGGATGCTGGCCAGATATCTGGGCTAAATGTACTTAGAGTGATTAATGAACCTACAGCTGCTGCCCTGGCGTATGGTCTGGACAAATCCGAAGATAAAGTGTAAGTTTATAAAGCGTAGATACTTGTACCTGAATTATAGGTTTTTACATGATTTTTTTTATTACATTTTCTAATTTTGTATTGGTACTTATGTTGGGGGTATGTTTATGCTGTGGTATGTATGTGGAGGTCAGAAGATAAAATGTGTGAGCTGGCTTTTGTCTTTCTCAAAAATGGGTCTTGGATCAGTTTGTCTGGCTTAACAGCAAGTGCCCTCACCCTCAAAGGCCCTTAATGTTTTTCTTTTTTTTTTTTTAATTAAAAATTACTCATTTTCAATTATAAATGTGTTTGTGTATGGCTATATACACGATATTGCAGACACCTTCAGAGATGTCAGATTCCCCTAGAAATTAAATTACTGGTGGCTGTGAGCTACCTGATGTAGGTACTGGAAATCAAACTGGTCCTCTCTGCTTTAAAAGCTGCTGACTTGCTCTAACCCATACCCTCCTCGTCATTGACTATGTGTGTGGTGGGGCATGTTCATAACAGTGTGCATGTGGAAGGACAGCATGGAGTTCATTCTCCTTTCACATAGGTTCCTGGGGTTGCATCAGGCTTGGAGCCAAGGATCTTCACCAGATAAAAAGCTATCTTGCCAGTCCTCATGTTGTAAATTGTTTTGTTTTTATTTTGTCTTTGTTTTTCAAGACAGGATTTTGCTGTGTAGCCCAGGCTGTCCTGGAACTTTCTCTGTACACCAAACTGGCTTCTAACTCAGATCCACCTGCCTCTGCTTCCTGAGTGCTGGGATCAAGGGTGTGTAATGTACCTGCTACACTTGTACTGTAAATTAACCTGAACTGTGAATCAAGTTATAACAACTATAAGATTTATCCTATAATATTTCCATTTCATAGGGTTAAAAGGGTTGTGCTTAGAATGAAAATGTACTTCCTTTTTTCTCCCCAAATTTGTATATATAGTCTTTTTTTCGTTGTTTCAAGATGATTTTTCTCTTTCCTTGGTACCCTGGACAATTTTTATTTTTGTTATTATGGGTGTTGATAAATTCTTTGGGAACCATGGTTTGTGTGATATGAATTTTGCTAGTCTCTTATATGTTACCAATGCCATATGTTAAAAGGCATGTTGGTTACTAGATTTCAAAATTAGTAAGTATTCAGGAAGATAACTAAGTTAATCTTTGGTTATTGAATTCATTCCTTTGTAATAGGATTTGTTCCTTTGTTTTCCTTTCTAGCATTGCGGTATATGATTTAGGTGGTGGAACCTTTGATGTTTCTATCCTGGAAATTCAGAAAGGAGTGTTTGAGGTGAAATCCACCAATGGGGATACTTTCTTGGGCGGTGAAGACTTTGACCAGGCTTTGTTACGTCACATTGTCAAGGAGTTCAAGAGAGAGGTTAGTTACCATTGTGGATTTAATGTGTAGGCTTCTTTGTAGGAGGTTCAGACTTTTTGTTCAAAATGCTCATTTGCTTTCTGAATAATTTTTTTGCACTAAAGTAATTAATTACATTCAGGTTCACGGGTAGACTCAACCATTTTAGTTACATATATATAGCACCTTAGATTGGGAACAAAAGACTTGTCCTCTAGCCCACAAATCCTCACAATTTATATTGCTTTATAAAGGATGACCCTTTCATAAGCAGACAAAATCTACATTGCCACTGCAGTTTCTCTATTGTCTTATGAATCCTATTTTGTAGACAGGGGTTGATTTGACCAAAGACAACATGGCACTTCAGAGGGTTCGGGAAGCTGCTGAGAAGGCTAAGTGTGAACTCTCCTCCTCTGTTCAGGTGAGACATGAAGAAATCCAAGTTCTTTTGGTGGATATTTTCAGCCTAACCTTATTTGAATCATATATTCTAATTTACCTAATGTCAGTGTAGCCTGTTTACAGTTTTCTATTTGGTAAAAACCTTGAGCAAGCTGGGCAGTGCTGGCCACGCCTTTACTCCTAGCTCTCTGGGAGTTCGAGGCCAGCCTGGTCTACAGAGCGAGTTCCAGGACAAGCTCCAAAGCTACTGAGAGAAACCCTGTCTGGCAAAAAGAACAAAAACTTTGAGCTGGGGAGGGGTGGTGCACTCCTACAATAATCCTAGCACTCGGGGAGGCACAGGTAGGCAGATCACTTTGAGTTCAAGGCTACCCTGGGCTACAAGAGCTAGTTAGAGGACAGTTAGGGCTGCAATACAGAGAAACAGTCTCAAAAAAGAAAGAAAAACAATACGACAATGATCACTTTTCTTTTTAATGAATTAGGTAAATCTTTGTGTGGATCTTTTGTTCACATGTATATACCTACTGCGTGTGTGCTTGGTCCCTCAGAGGCCAGAACTCCCATGTTCTCTAGAAGACCTGCCAATGCTCTCAACCACTGAACTATCTTTCCAGCCCTGAGACAGATATTTTTTAAATTATCTATTATATGTGCACTGGTGTTTTTACCTGCATTTTTGTCTCAGGGTGTCAGATCCCCTGGACTAGAGTTACAAAAGCAGTATGGTGAATGATTAACCTTGAAAAAAAATTAATGTCTTCAATGTACTATTTTGTGGATTATATGAATTGCTAGTTTTCTGCCTAATAAATTGGATCAGCATTCTAGAAAGTAAGCTGTGGGAAAAAATCTGCCCTTTAAGCAACAGATTTGCTCCAACTCTCTGTTCTGCACTTGTTTGTTGACCTCAGTTCTGAGAGGTAAAGCTTCCCTGTCTTAAGCAGGTGTAGACTAGTGTAAAATCTAGGTTACAGCCTCACCAGCGTGAAACTAGACCACTCTAAACCTGTGACTGCTTAAGATTCTTACATTCACAGCAACAAGTTATGGTAGCTGTTGGTTAAGTGGTTGTTGCTAAGTTGCTGAAACCTGAATGCTGTATACAATCATTTATTTTTGAGTTCGGCCTTAGTTCCCAAGCCTTCACTATTGTAAGGGGCTGTGAGTAGTTACTATGTTGTCCGTACTATGCTCATGGGTAGTGATGCCATTCTCCCTGCTGAGTGACAGAACTTGTGTGACTTATTCATGTTTAAGGTTGTGGTTTAAGAGTCTGGGTTTGTCAGCAGAAAGAGAAATCTATAAGTCTCAGATTTGATACTGGGAGGGGAAAAGGTTGTTTACGTTTACATGGCTGTGCTTTACTGATGGACAATTTTTTTTTCTAGCCTTTAGCACTTTAGCAAAGTATTTAGCCAAGTCAGTGTATATTTATGATCTTAAATCTGTAAAATAAATCCTTGGGAACATCTCAGAAGACTTAATATAGTGTACTCTGAAAAGATGGATTTTACCTAGAATATTAACTCAGCCCTGTGGTGGTCTCATACCACTCAGACTGGCCTTGAACTCACTATCGCTGAAGACGATTGTGTGTGTTCCTGAGGGCTTGGGCAGTGCCAGCACATCCAGTGTGCATCGCTCCTGCTTTTTTCTAGTAAGAGCAGAGGTAACACTAATTCCTGGAACTTAGTCTGGATATGTTAAGAGGTTGATGGGGAACATATGTTCTTTTTGTTTCTTGTTTGACTTCGTCATTCCTCACCCACCCCCCATACACAACACACCTGTTTCTCTCTATAATAGTCCTGGCTGTCCTAGAACTTGCTTTGTAGACCAGGCTGGACTCAAAACTATCAGATCTGCCTGCCTCTGCCTCCTAAGAGCTGGGATTAAAGGTGTGCACTCCAATGGCCCTTCGTGATTTCTTTCTTTGATTTTCATTTTTATCTATGTGGAGAGTGATGGGAGAAGGTAAATGTGGGTACCAGTGGAAGCTAGAAGAGGAGAGTATCGGGTGCCTCAAAACTGCAGCTATGGGCAGTTGTTAGCTACCCAACATAGGTGCTAGGAATTTAACTCAAGTCCTCTGTCAAAATAGCAAGCACTGTTTAACTATTGAACTCAGACATGAGATATTTTAACTCGATGTGAAAGATAACCATACACACAGTATGTTTCTATGGTACTATTCATCTGTCACAGGATAATTTCTTCAGCTTGTGTGCCCCAGACTTCATTGTTAATATTTATAAACCTTATTAAAAGATTTTAGTGTATTTACACTACATCTTAGGAATTTAGTAAGGCTGATTTTCTTTGCTTCCTAGGTTCTATCCTAGGGTATAGTCTTAACCTTAATTGGAATCATAAAGATTAACTTATAGTGAAATATTTTCTGTGTAGACTGACATCAACTTGCCATATCTTACAATGGATGCTTCTGGACCCAAGCATTTAAATATGAAGGTAACTCGAGCTCAGTTTGAGGGCATCGTTGCAGATCTAGTCAAGAGGACTATTACTCCATGCCAGAAGGCGATGCAAGACGCAGAAGTCAGCAAGAGTGACATAGGAGAAGTGATTCTGGTTGGTGGCATGACGAGGATGCCCAAGGTATGCATATATCTTATGTGGGGGGAAATCAATACATAATGCAATTTCATTAAAAGATGCAAGAAAAAGGGTATCAGGGAGACTATTAAACCCATTCTTATAATGTTGTCAAACCTTGTGGTGGTCATTCCCTAGGAGATGTTTTTTGGGCACTTCTTCCCAGCATAGTGGTTGGGACTACTTGCATTACTTCAACAAAGATTTGTGCAATGATGCATTTTATTAATCAACACATCATTCTGAAAACAGATGTGTAGATAAGTAATAACTGAGCACAGACTGTTGTTGAAGGTGTAGTTGTTCTTGGAGGCTGGATAGAATTATCTTGGGTCCAAGTTAATGGTGGAATTACTGCTTTTGGTGGTGGTTTCTGTTGTTTTTTTGTTTTGTTTTTTAATTTTACTGATTTTTATTGAGCTCTATGTTTTTCTTTCCACTCCCTGCCTCTCCCTACCCCTTTAACTCTCTCCCTGGTCCCCATTCTCCCAACTTATTCAGGAGATCTTGTCTTTTTCTATGTCCCCTGTAGATTAGATCTATGTATGTCTCTCTTAGGGTCCTCATTGTTATTCTAGGTTCTCTGGGATTGTGATTTGTAGGCTGGTTTTCTTTGTTTTATGTTTAAAAACCACTTAAGAGTGAGTACATGTGATAACTGTCTTTCAAAATGATGTTTTCTAGTTCCATCCATTTGCCTGCAAATTTCAAGATGTCGTTATTTTTTTCTTTGTAGTACTCCATTGTGTAAATGTAGGTGGGTTGTGTTTATGGGAGATTTTGTTTCTCTGTTGCAACACTAGGATAGTGGAAAATGAATCTAGAATAAAGTTGGACCCAGAACTCTGGTTAGAGAGGACATGTTGATATTAACAAATTATCCCAAGATGCTATGTACTTTTGTTAGCTCTTAACACACAGGGTCAAAAACAATGCCACAGAATTGGTATTACTGCTTCCTTCAAATTGGCCTCTGATTAATTATGTAGAAGTGTAGGCTGTATTTTATAGTCCCTTGCCTTATGCCTTCTGTTTCCAGTGATGAATGTCATCTGGAAGACAGATAATTGAAGCAAATGCTTCTAAATTAAGTGGACAAAGTGAGTTTTCATGTAAAGAAGAAGTCAGCATTGTTGGAGCTGAGTTCATCTGACTTGCCATCTGGGTGGCACCTTAGTGCTCTGTCTCAGTTCAGCAGTGGCCCTGGGTGTTGGCTAACAGGTTCTTTGTCCTCCATACATAGGTTCAGCAGACTGTACAAGATATTTTTGGCAGAGCCCCAAGTAAAGCTGTGAATCCTGATGAGGCTGTAGCCATCGGAGCTGCCATTCAGGGAGGTGTGCTGGCTGGAGATGTCACAGATGTGCTGCTCCTGGATGTCACTCCCCTCTCTCTGGGTATTGAGACTCTGGGAGGTGTTTTTACTAAACTTATTAATAGGAACACCACAATTCCAACCAAAAAGAGCCAGGTAAGAGTTATATCCTTCCTCACAGGTTTTAACTTCTATGAGTGGATAACTGCAGCCACTTCATGAACTTTTTAAAACTTAATGTTTCTAAATCCACACTAGCGGACTGGGTGGTGAGATTACCATTTATGTGTGTTTTGTTGCAGTTTCTGGAAAAGTTCTTAGATATCAGCTAGCAGTGGTGATTAAGGGAAGAAGGATAATGCAGTCTCCTAAAAGGGCTGTCGTCATTTGCCACTGAATTCTCTGTAGTCGTAAATAAATAAAAAGTCTGGTTAGCAACATGGGACTAGGCTTGATTTCAGCGTGAATGATGGGGGCTGAGTTGTGTTTTACCAATCAGTGATCTAATGGGCATGGCTTGGCAGGGTCTTAGATGAAGTCACACTTCTTGTGCCTGGTTGGATCGTCGCAAAACTTGGGAAGTTGAGGCATGAAAATTGAGAATGTGAGAATTGCGGACCATATAGTGTGACACTGTCTCAAATGGTTGTATTTCCAGACTCAAATCAGTCTTGAATTATTCTAGGATCTCTCTCTCTTTGGTATTTGTGCAGTGATGTATTTGTCAACACATCATTCTGAAAATATGTGATGACATCTCAAGACTGAGCACATGGTACATCGCCTATCTCTGGTCTTCCTTGGACTTGACAAGTTGTTATTTTATATCCTTATTTTGATGCCTTAAACTTCCAGGCTTAAAGCTTCATCTTGTCCAACATACTTGTCTAGCAGAAACAATAGCTGTTGTGTGCTATTTAATACTAATCCTGTCTTTGCAGAGATAGACCTTTGTTCTGAGAGTAATGTATGTTAGGAATCATCCATTATTAGAATGTCATTGTCTCGTTAGCCTTTTTCTGTATAATGGGTGTAAGTTTAATCATCAAGTAAGGAAGTTTCCTTCTTACTAGGTATTTTCTACCGCTGCTGATGGACAAACTCAAGTAGAGATTAAAGTGTGTCAGGGAGAGCGAGAGATGGCTACAGACAACAAACTTCTAGGACAGTTCACTTTGGTAAGTATTTCAAATCTGGGTATCATGCGTTTTGGTTCTATAGCTTACACAGGTGACAGTAGTCTAGCCTCTCCAAACTGCTTACAAACAGGCATACTTTTACTTTATTAATACTTTATTAAGGTTTTATTGTATGGGTGTATCTCTATGTACCAAGGGCACTAAGGCCAGAAGAGAGTATTGGGTTCCCTGGATGGATTTACTGCAGTTTTCTGCAATGTGGATGCTGGGAATTGAACCTGGGTCCTTGGGAAGAATCGCAGGGCTCTTAACCACTGAACCATCAGCCCAGCTCATACTGTGTTACTTTTGAAAAACAGTTTTCATAGGTGAACTATGAAACTCAAAAATTCAGTACTTTTTGTGTTTTCAGATCTTTATTGAAAAGCCAGGGACATGTTCAGTTTCAGAAGCAGTGCTAACTCAGAAACCAGTTGAGTCATGATCCATTGTTTCAAAACCACTTGATGGTCACCGTTTTGGGTCAGCATTGCTACAGTGAAGAAGTCCTGATTTACTGAAAAAACTCTGGCCAACATGACTATTATGGTTACGTATTTGCTCCTTGAAGCACTAAAATCTCAAGTTTGTGTACTTTAGTGAAGATACCACTTGTTTTCGGGAGCACGTGGTAGATGGCCTGTTTGGAAATGGGAGCATCTGAGAGGAGCTGACTCTGGCTGTTTTGTTTACTTTAGGTTGGAATTCCCCCAGCCCCTCGTGGAGTCCCTCAGATTGAAGTTACATTTGACATTGATGCCAATGGTATTGTACACGTTTCTGCCAAAGATAAAGGAACAGGACGTGAACAACAGAGTAAGTATTCAGACTGTATGAATGAGGTATGATGCTGAGAACGTCGTCTAGCAGTAGAGTGCCTTCCAGCATATGTGATGCCCTGGGTTTGGTTACCATCAAAGGAAAAGTAAGGTGGCCGTTATTAGGAACTACATACTCTTGTTTCTATGCCTTTTCTCCCCCTGGGATGGTTGCTACCACGCTGCCCCCTTTTCCAGGTATCAGAGATAGGGGTGTTTCACTTGCATGGTTTTTGTTTTTTTCTCTTGGTTTTCTGAGACAGTGTCTTGAGGATTTAAGGTGTGCGCCACCACTGCCTGGCTTTGCATGTATTTCTTGTACCTCATGCATGTCCAATGCCCTGGAAAGGATTGCTGCCAGTCTTACTGAAGTGAGTTTCTGGCTTGTTTTGAGACAGGGTCTGACTTTGTATCCCTGATTGACCCAGAAGTTGCTGCTCAGACCATGCTAACCTCAAACAATGAGATCTGTATGCTTCTTCCTTGCAAATGCTGGCATAGATCTCTAAATTTTTTGTTTCTCTGTGTGTAGCCCTAGTTGTCCTGGAACTAGCTCTGTAGGCCAGGCTGGCCCCAAACTCAAGGTTCATCTGCTTCTGCCCATTAAGTGCTAAGATTAAAGGTGTGTGCCACTTCTACCTGGACAAATATCTGAATTTTCATAAGTTAACATTAGGAGGGGACAAACCAAGCCTGACCTTGTGGAATGCTGAAGTTTCACCAGAGAGACAGGTCACTTGGTCTTTTTATACAACTCACTTATAAGACAATAACTAAAATCATAATTTGAATCATTCAGATTAGTTACTATAAATAGAGGCAGCATTTATTTACTTGTTTATTGTGGAGGCTGAGTCTTATTTTGTAGCTGTGACTGACCTTAAGCTCAAAGTTGCCTGCTTCTTGAGTGTTGGGATTAAGTGTGCACCATGTAGTGTAATGTTATTTGTTAATACAGTGAAAGAAGAGAACTAAAGAGATTTTTTTTTTTTAATTAACTCTAGTTGTGATCCAGTCTTCTGGTGGATTAAGCAAAGATGACATTGAAAATATGGTTAAAAATGCAGAGAAGTATGCTGAGGAAGACCGGAGAAAGAAGGTGATTACTTCTGCTGAACGTGTTAAAGCTGACAGACTGGGCAGGTCACTGCTCTTAAGTTTCTCATCTTTATTGTTCCCTTTCATTAATTTATACTTTGTTTAATGTGAGATTACACCCTGTGATCAGGACGATTTCCACAACGCTCCCATTTCTCAGCCTTCACTAGTACCTGGGACTAAGGGCACATACTGGGTTTGGAATGTTCTTAGCCTCCCGCTATCAAAATTCCCACGCCACAAAAGCCAACTCTTTTCTCTGGGTCATCCCAAGTACTTTTGAGTACAGTCATTCTAGCTCCACTGTTAACAGTGTGGAAAGTAACTTATTGTATCACGTGATGTAGAACTTAAGGGAAGTCAGTTATGTTAAACTCATAATTTTTTTAAGGAACGCGTTGAAGCAGTTAATATGGCTGAAGGAATTATTCATGACACAGAAACCAAGATGGAAGAATTCAAGGATCAGTTACCTGCTGATGAGGTAAGTTATTAGAAAAAAATCAAAGAGAATATTCGCTGATTCATTGAAGCTCATTTTTATTGGGCTTGATAGTGATTGGGGTTTTTTAAAGCATGAATAAAGGGTAGAGGTGGGAAGGCAAAAAGAATGCTTGAAAATTCGCCTTTAATCCTAGCACTCAGGAGGCAGAGGCAGGCGGATCTCTGTGAGTTCAAGACCAGCCTGGTCTACAGAGCTAGTTCCAGGACAGGCTCCAAAGCCACAGAGAAACCTTGTCTCGAAAAACCAAAAAAAGAAAAAAATTTGAATAGTGCACTACATGTAAGAAAAGAACATTCTAGAAAAAGGGTTTCTTTTTTGTTTTTTGCCTTTTACAGTGCAACAAGCTAAAGGAAGAGATTTCCAAAATGAGAGAACTGCTTGCGCGGAAGGACAGTGAAACGGGAGAAAACATTAGACAGGCAGCATCTTCACTTCAGCAGGCATCACTGAAGCTCTTTGAGATGGCATATAAAAAGGTACAAGGGCCGGAGGGGTATTTGGTCGAGATTACTGGGAACAGAACGTTACAGGGAAAGGCATAGGAAATAGCGATGGTTTACAAGGGCGGGTGGAAGGAATGATGAATACAGTGTGAGTTATGTATGAAGGATGAGGTTAAACCTAATGTGAAATCTCAGTGATCACAAATATTTTCTCAACAGATGGCATCTGAACGGGAAGGTTCTGGAAGTTCTGGTACTGGGGAACAGAAGGAAGACCAGAAGGAGGAGAAACAGTAACAGTGGCAAGGCATTGAGAGAAGAGGCCAGAAGGACAACATGAAGCTTGGGAGTAAAGGGACGTCCTGAGCAGAAAAGGGTCAAACTTCAGTCTTTACTGTGTTTTTGCAGTAACCCATATAATTTCCTTAATAAATATATGTAGTGAAAATTAGCTAACTCATTTTAATGGGTGGTAATTCAGAAGTAGCAGTTCATACCATTCTGTCACTAGCCGGTTAGTTTCAGCCACGTGTAAAGGGGTGGGGTGGGACTGCATACCAATCATTATTAAGATATATCTGGTTTGTGCTGAAGGGGCCATATTTTCAAAGTGTGAAACCCAGTAGTCTTGTCATGGACCTTGGATTGTATGTAGATCTTGGTTGGCCAACAGGACTGCTATAAAGAATGGTCTATTTGTATATGAGGCGATCCTTCAACAGGCCTTGCAAGACTAAGCTACCTGTGCCATGCATGGTTTGTTGGTACAGAAGCTAAGCCAGCTGTTAGCCATGGCTTACAGAGATGCAGGATAGTGATGAAGTCTTTTGTGGTCCTAAGCCATACTTTCCAAGCTACCCTCTTGGTTGGCCTGTATCTGGCACTATATCCTTGGTGATCATTCTTTTAATCCATTTTGGAGGTTTTTTTTTTTTTAATAAAATTCTAAAAACTTCTTGATCTCCTTTGTGAATGGCATTAGTTTCAGGAAGAAATGACAATGACTTTCTAACACTGGCTAAGTTTGGACACATTAAAGATACAGGAAAATACTGGCAGAAGCACACTACGGAAGCCAGGCAGGGCTACATAGTGAGACTCTCAAAAGTACTGGCTGGCATAAACAAATCTAAAGAAAAAAACAAGTGCTGTTTCTAGATTCGACAAAATTGGAAAGCAGAGCTGATTTTTGTTTTTATTGAGCTATATATTTTTCTCCACTCCTCCCATCCTCTCCCCTCATGTTCTACCCTCTCCCATGTTCCCAATTTACTCAGATCTTGTCTTTTTTTTTTACTTACCATGTCAATTAGATCCGTATATATCTCTCTTAGGTTCCTCTATGTTGTCTAGGTTCTGTGGGATTGTGAATTGAAGGGTGGCTTTTCTTTGCTTTATGTCTAAAAGTCACTTTTATGCATATTTTCCTTAACCATTCCTTGGTTGAGGGTTATTTAGGTTGTTTCCAGGTTCTGGCTATGACAAACAGTGCTGCTGTGAACATAAGCTGAGCACACTTCCTTGTGGCACGATTGAGCATCCTTTAGGTATATACCCAAAAGTGGTAGTGCTAGCTAGCTCTTTGGGGTAGGTTGTTTCCTGATTTTCTGAGAAATTGTCATACTGATACCCAAAGGGGCTGTACCAGTTTGCACTCCCACCAGCAATGGAGGAGTGTTCCCTTTACCCCACATCCTCTCCAGCATAAGTTGTCATCACTGTTTTTTTATCTTGGCCATTCTTACAGGTATAAGATGGATTTTCAGTTGTTTTGATTTGCATTTCTCTCATGGCTAAGGATGCTGATCATATCCTCACGTGTCTTTCAGCCATTTTTTAGATTCCTCTGTTGAGAGTTCTCTGGCAAAAAATGCTTCTTAAAGGTTTAGGGCACAAATGTCCCACTCTCTCTGGCATGTCCTTCAGTTCACTCACTTGTGGTTAGTGAAGGTCTTTTTCCATTCTTTGGCTATCATTTTGTCTTGCTGACCGTGTCCTTCGGTTTATAGAAGCTTCTCAGTTGCAGGAGGTCCCATTTATTGTTTCTCTCAGTGTCTGCTACCTGAAATGAGTTGTGATAGTTAGGAGCCACCATGTGGATATTGGGAACAGAATGTAGGTCCTCTGGCAAGAACAAGTGCTCTTAACCAGCCCCTAGGTTGCACTTTGTTTTAAACTGTGACGGTTTGTCTTGGTGGTTATCACTTTATGAGACTGCCATTTTGTTCACTGGCTACTTTGCCAGAGGACCTTAGTTTTGATTACCAGCACCCACACAGAAGCTCACAATCATCTGTAACTTCAATTCCAGATCAGAAACCTGGCTACTTTAGATATCAGGAATGCATGTAGCACACTTACATACAGGCAAAAACACACTGTAGAGATTAAATCTACAGTGGAATAGGTGTAGCTTTAACCCAGAAAAGTTAAGGTTTTGACAGTCTTGCTATATAGTCTGGCAAATTAAGCTGGCCTAAAACTTGAAACAATCCTGATAGCTAAGATTATAAGCATGTATCCCCACACCTGCCTGATTTTGTTGTCACTGGTGATTGAATCTAGGGCTTCAAGCCATTGGAAGTGCATCTGTCAGCACATAAAGGTGTTTTGTTGCTAAGGATCAAACTCAGAACTTGTCTTGAGCAAGTTCTATTGACAGCCCAAGACAACAGATTTTTGTTGGTGTGTATTTTGTTTGGGGGACAGCTGTACAGTGAAGAGTGACCTTGAATTTCTGATCTTCCATCAGTCTCACAAGTGTTCACCCCCATACCTGGTGGTATATGGGGTGCTGGGGATGGAACCAGTCTCGTGTCTAACAAGCAGTTTACCAACAGAGCTGCACCTTCATTGGTCTTCCTGCTTCAGCATCCCGAGTACCAGTGCACACTACCCTGCTCAGAATATCAAAGCTTTGTTTATACCTGCGACGTGGTTTTCTCTGTAGCCCTAGCTGTCCTGGAACTCACTCTAGACCAGGCTAGCCTCGAACTCAGAGCCCTGCCTGCCTTTGAACTGAAGCTGGGATTAAAGGCTTGAGTGCCACCTCCTTGGTTAAGGGAAAAGTTCTTAATTAGGAAAGGAATATAAAGAGGAATTAAAACCACAAGCACAGGTGATGTTTCCTGAGCAACACAATTTGGCCAGAATAAGCAATCCTGTCAGTCTGTTTGGTGCTGCTGTACTGGTCACCAGGTGGCTAGGAGAGCCCAACAATTGAGGTCTGAGAAATCTATCAGGTTTCCTGATGCATCATCCTGAAGAGAGCGGCAGTGTGCAAAGGACTGAGCCTGCAGCCTCAAGCAATTTTATATTAACATTAGTCTACTCAGGAGGATAAAACCCTCATCCCCCTTTAGGACCTCAAAGATTTGACAAGTGGGAGATCTATTCCAGCCACAACACTCAACTACTTCCTAGGCAGATGAGGAATCTGTAGTTTCCTCTGTTCTATTTACAACTTTAAAATCTTCAAGTCTCTTAAGCTGTCATGGAACAGGGCACATAACACCGTGGAACACTTTTCATACAGATTTAATGTCTTGTTACCTTGCACAGTCCACACCTGACACTTAACCCTAGTATTTCAGCATCCACTTTACACGATTCCCACAATTATCAAGGTCAGGAAAATTAGCACTGAAATAACATTTTAATACATAATTCATATTAAAACTCTGTCAAGTATCTTGCTCACAGCTGAAATCCCAGCACTTAGGAGGCTGAGGCTGAGGGATTCTCCAAGTTTGGAGATAGCATAGATCACAGTGAGACCAGTTTCCTGTCTTGAAAACAGTAAAGCAATTCCTTTGGTCAGAGCACAGGACCACATCAGTCCTCAAGTAAAGTTTGTAGTGTAGTCCTGGTTGGCTGGGAATTCACTCTGTAGAACAGGCTGGGCTCGGATTTATAGAGATCCACCTGTCTCTGCTCCTGAGTGCTGGGATTGAAGGCTTGTGACACCATCGCCTGGCTTACTGGACATTTTAAATTACTCAAGACAGGGTCTGACACAATCCAGGCTGCCTTACTTAAGCTTACTCTGCAGCTTGGGCAGCCCTCGAACCTAAGATCCTGCCTCATTCTTTGAAGAATAGGAACTTTAGCCATGTATCATTATCCTACCCTCCTTTTGCTTTTTTTGTTTGCTTGTTTAAGATGGGAGTCTTATGTTCCCCACCCTACCCAACTCAGCTGACCACCTCAGTACCAGAGCAGCTGTGACTGGCTGTACTCTAGCCAGAACCACAGGCGGCCTGCACCACTCAGCCAGTTTTCTTTTTCCCCAGCAACAGTGATGCAGTTCAAATTGAGAATTTTGCTCATGCTAGACAAGTATTCTTCTTCCACTGAGGTATATCCCAGTTCCAAGCAAAATTTATTATGGGGCTCTGGTTGGGGCAGGGAAAAAAAAAAATAAAGGCCCCAAAACATTTAACCCTAGCAAGGGCCGCAGATACAGGACATAAAGCAGGTGGTGGAGTGTTTCCCAGCATCCTCAAAGACAGGGTAATAGGCACGCATTTTACTAACATTCAACCTCGGTGGCCAGAGGTTTTGTTCTTTTCCACACTGGGTACCGTATTCCAGTGCTGACACCACCGGGAGTTAGCACTAGATCCCACAAGTTCAGCACCTGTAGGTCTACTTTGGATGCCTAGGAAGAGTTCCAGGCTGAACCTGACAAATTCGGGACCTTCTTGCTGGGTTTGACAACTTGCTAGAGTGGCTCACAGAACACGAGGACACACCTTATCCATTGCAGAGGATAGTAGGAAAGATACAGAATAACAGCCTAATGAGGGTCTAGGAGGGTCCTGAGCTAGGGGCTTGTGTCTCTTGTTCTTGCTGCTATTACAAATGAGCCTACCCGCTTTCCAAATGCTATGTTTGGCTTAAAAAAGTTCCTGGATCACCTCTCCCCCTGTGGCTGCAGCACACTGTCAGTTTTATAGCTCCTCAAATATATTAGACTACTACTTTACTCAACCTCCACGCTCATATCCGTCGATTATTTTAATACACAAAATATAAAGATCGGCTGGGTTTACTGGTTCACACCTGTAACCCCATCATTCGGAAGGCTGAGGCAGGAGTGTTGCCCATATTTTTGAGGCCAACAAACGAAGTTAAAAAAATTACGAACGGTTGCTAAGCAGCGGTGGTGCACGCCTCTAATCCCAGTAATAAAGGGGGGGGGGAGCGGCTGAGTTCAAGGCCAACCTGGTCTAGAAGAAACCCATCTCGGAAAAAAAAAAAACGTTATGAACGGTTATAAGCTCAACTAAACTGTGAATTCCACTCAAGTTAATATTACTTACTCGATTCACCTCTTTCTAGAAAAACTAGAGTTCAAATCTTTGATTACACACAATTTGTGAAGTTGGAGACAGACAACTGGAAACGTTGCCAACGTTCTCCCCACCTCCACGCTCACAGTTAACAAAACACGCATGCTCTCAGATACCTTGGGTCTCCAACCTCAGACAACCCTTCAAGTCCCAGAGCCACAGTGAACCCACAGTAACACTGAAACGACAGGAAACCCTCCTTCAGTCCAGCGCAGCCGATCGGCTCCAGCCTCGGCGAAGCTCCTGATCCAGACCTAGAGGCCAGGATTCTGAACTTTTGTTCGCGAAGCCACGATACACGCAGGCGCACCGCACTTGGTTAGCGACAAAGCTGACGGCGGAGAGACGTCCTCCAAGCTTTCCAAGCACTTTTGACCACACGCACGTACATACGAGTCGGTCCGAGAAACAGGATTCTGCGTGGCAGAGCTTCAGGTGTCCGGTCAGGTGAAGTGGCAAAGAACGGAAGACAACGACCACTCTCTCGCGCCCTTTAAGAACCACCGCCATTCCAGCCCATAGAAGCCGAGAAAATGCTCGCCAGGCCACCAGGGTCCACCGGCTTTCCCCCTCCAAAGACGGCGGGGCCGGAACGGAGGCGGTGCCTCCCGCTCCCCGGCCTACACCTCACAAGGCAGCGCGGCCGCAGAGGCAGCCAATCAGAAGAACTCTTGTAAGCGGAGGCACGAGAGCCAATGGGAAGTCGCGGCGCGCGCAGAGCCTCTGTGCGTCGCACCGGCCCCCTCCCTTCCGCCCGCCGCCTTCCACTCCGCCCCTGGCGGAGGAAGTGAGATCAGAGGCCCCATGTGAGCGGATTGCAACACATGCAGCTGCCTGGAGAGAGGGAGCCGGTGTCCTACGTCAGAGCCGCCGCCGCCGCGGAGCCGCCGCCGGGGAGGAGCAGCCGCTGCCGCCCAGCACTGGGCCCCTAGGTAAAGCGGGCGTAGGAAAGCCGGCGCCCGGTGCCGCGGGTTGTCGGGGCGGGAGGAGAGGGCAGCTCGGGGGGTGGCGACGAAGGGGGCCTCTCTGCCCCAGCGGCGGCGCTAACTCTGTGGTCTTGGTGTCTCCGGGCCCCGCCGGGCCGCTCTAGGGAGGAGGAGGCGAGAAGATGGCGGACGACCCCAGTGCTGCCGATAGGAACGTGGAGATCTGGAAGATCAAGAAGCTCATTAAGAGCTTGGAGGCGGCCCGCGGGTGAGCGCCACGTCCGCCACCCCCCTGCACTCTTGGATCCGGGACCCTCAGGATGGCCGCCCCCACCCCGCATGGCCGGATGGGGAGAACCCGGCACTAGCCAACTCCCGCCTTTAGACCTCCGGGTAGTAGCCTCTGACTGGAGGGCGAGGGTCGGCGCTGCTGGCCCGGAAAGAGTCCTGCCCCCACCCTCTGGGGGTAAGGAGCCGGCTCCCACGGCTCAGATCACTCGGTGTCCTCTCTGGAGAAAGCCCCTGCGACTTTTGTACCACTCTCGAGCCCTTAAATCCAGCTCCTCACTTTTCGGGCTCCTTGTGCTGCCACCCGACTTGGGTGCTGTTGGGGTAAAGTACTTGGCGCTCCTTTCCGAACGCCCTACCCTGATTTTCTATCTTACTCTCGCTTCACGTTCCTCAGCCAGGCCTCATTAAAATGGCCTCCCCCACTTGGACTTTCAAGTCCCGTGTGTGGGTGAAGTTTTGATGGGGGCTGTAAAGGAGAGTTGGCCGAGGGAGATCTTCCCGGCTCACCTTTATTTGCCTGGGTCTTAGACCTCTCCGACTTACCCTAAGTTTTCTAATTTCTCCGGGGCTTCCTGGTTTTGGCTGTTCCAAGACTCGTCTATAAACCGAAAATGCCAGTGTGTGCGGGATGGGCTGGTGGTGGTTTTTTTTTGTTGTTGTTGTTGTTAACAAATCTGTTGTGTGCTCATTCAAGATAATTCCAGGTAATGCGACTGGTTGATAGAAACCATAACATTACTGTCCTTGTTGGCTTTTCTTTGTAACATCTTAGGAATGTCATTGTCGAGTTTCCTGATGGATTAATAATGCTGTGGAAATTCAAAACTTAAAGGGAGCTTCCGGGCTCCTGTAAGTTTTTGTACGAATTTGTTAGTGTGTTCATTCCTGGGTGAATAAGCTAGGTTGAAAGTGGCCATATGTTTGCTTTTTGCGAGTTTGCCAGAGGTATTTGTGTTACTTCCTTGTATTGCTGTATTTACTTTCCCAATTATAGAAACTTTGTACTATCTGGCTTGCCCCCACCCGAAAAGTGGAGCGTTATACATTGCTGCACTCCATGGCACAGTTAGAACAGAGTGCCTTTCTTCCCTGCCATGTGGGAAGTTGACTTCGGCCCACCACGGAGACATTCTGAGTTTCAGCCCGAGTTTGTCACTGAAGGGGAATCTGACAGTGGTGTGATGACGACGATGGCACCGCACTCATTAACTTTTTAGGTGGATTCGGCTTCATTCTACCAAAGTTCATGGTTTTAAAGCCAGATGCTTTTGCTTGGTGTTTCATTCTTAATAAACGAGAAGCTCTAATTTCTGTTTGGGATTAGACGCCTGAAAGATCACCCTGAAGGTCTTTACTCATCCCTTTGATAGTGTAAAGTCTTGAGATGAGGGTAGATAGATGCTTTTGTTGTTATTTCTTAAGGTGTTTTGTTTTAAATGGAATATAAAGACTTTCTCATAGGAACTTGTGCCGTGTGGAGAGTGGGGGGGGGGGGAGCCCAAATGTGAAAATCATATAGGAATGTTACTAGAGGTCATGATTCATTAGGACGCCAAGAATTAGCCAGGTACTGTTGTTTCAGTAGGCATCCTTTTGTTGTTACTTAAAGCTTTCTGTGGGGTGCTCATTTATGAATTCGTCCTGTTACACTGTTTCAAGTTGAACTTGAACCTGTAGGCTATCTCAATGCTTTTATTTAGGGTTCTTATTAGAATTTGGATATAGTGCATTCTCTGAAGCAGTTTCAATATGAATTCTTATACTAGTTTGCTTGAATGAAGTTAACATTGAAGGCGTGGTAAGCTACTTTTCTTTCTCCTAGTTGATCTCATTCTTAGATTTGTTCCTAGCCATAGTTCCTAACTACTTGGAAGTGTTAAGGCTCTCTTAAAAGTCTTTGGAAACTTTATTTTCTAGTTTAGGAAAGTTTGGTAAAGTTTGGAGCGTGCTAAAGAACATGTTAGACAGGATTACGCTGTCTAAATTAGCTCGGGGCTCTTCCTCTGAACAAGTAATGCAACTTATAATCTTTTCCTGCTTTGCTTAATAATTTAGTAAGGATCTGGTTGCACCTCAAACCCATGGAAATGCTAAAAATCTCAGGTGTTGGTCAGGGAATCAAAAGTTTGTTGTATGTGACTCAGAACTTTTTTGGTACGTATCAGTTTCTTTTGGGAAATGGCAAGATTTCGTTCTCATGGCTGAGTTGTGTTAGTTTTAAGTGCCCCTCCCCCCTAAAAAATTTTAATGGTTTTGTAAACCAAGCTGGCCTCCAACTCATTATGTGGCTGGCTGAAGCTGGCCTGACTTCTGATCTGCCTCTATTCCCCCAGGTGCTGGGGTTATAGGATGAGCCTGACTAATACTAAAATATTTTTAGGATGATTGTGATGAACCTTAAAGAAAAATTAAATAGCAAAATGGATCCATATGTGTCAGTCTTTGGAGGTACCCCAGTTTAACATGCGTAGAATTATCTCAGAAGTAAATAGGAACTTGTGGGCAGGTTTAGGATGTGGGCCCCATTAGCTTTCCTTTAACTTGTTTGTGTGTGCATGGGTATTTGTAGAGGTCAAAGGACAACTTTGTGGTGTTAGTTGGTTTTCTCCTTCTACTTTAAGTCACGTTCTGAGGCTGGAGTGCAAGTCATCAGGGCCCCAAATTTTTTGAGTTATGTTCTTACTATGTTGCCCTGGCTGGCCTCGAATTTGGTGTATAGCTGAGGATGTGTGTGTCTCTGCTCGTATATGCGATCACATTCTCCGCCTAAACACTACTTTTTAAAGTTTGCCCGAGTAATTTTGAAGTTTACTCAGTCAATATGAGGTTATCTTTTGATATATAACCAAATGTAGAGTAGCCCCAAAATGGACTCATTAGTTAAAATACATTGACAGGATGAAGTCACCACAAAATGATTGACTGAGCGCTTTGTCATAGATGCTTTGGAGTGATACGTTGTCATTTAATGTTCACAACAACAGATGTCACCAGTTGATATACAAAGCAGCTGAGAGCTTAGATAACTTGTTGTCTTGAATGTCAAAGTGTGAAAATGTGAGACACGCTAAGCATCAAACAAACTGCAGAGGCCGGCCTCTTTGACCTATGATTCTGAGCTTGGTTTCCACGAGTGTAACTGCATAGTAATCCACATTCTAGTTTGTGAACTAGTGTGCTGATTTGGAAAACTGTCTTTTCCAAAATCTACAAGACTAGTCTTAAAAATTACTCTGAGTCCAGCAGGCTGTATTATTGTGGAATTACATCTACAAAGGCCAACTACTGAAGGAGAAATTTGGTGGCCCTGTTTTATAGCACATGGTGTGTGAGCTGGTTGGAGTGTTCCTGTTTAGATGGGCTAATAGAATAAGTAGCCAGTTGTTTTCTTATATAAACCTCCCTTAGTACTTAACCCTGTATAAATTTAGCTCTTTATGATTACTCTTAGTATATTCCCCAAAGTTGCCTTATAAGGAAAAACATGTACATAGCCAAAACTGGATCCATTGCCACGAGTTGAACCACACCTGGTTTCAAATAAGGAACTTAAAGTGGTTTCTAGGCCTTTTTGTTTTTCTCTTTTGAGATAAGGTCTCCTGTGTTCCTAGTTGGACTTGTACTCTTGATCTTTCTGCCTCAGTCTCCCAAATGCTGCGATTATAGGAGTGAGCCACCATGACCAGTTCATTCATTACTGAATGAACTAGATGCTGGGAAAAGAAATGGCCCCGAGTTCAAGGTCAGTTGACTATAGGCGACTCTTCTGTAAACATCTTTCTCCTCTTAATAAAAGAAACCTTTTCTTTTTGGAGACAGGGTTTTCTCTGTGTAGCCCTAGCTGTCCTGGAACTCATTTAAGTATCCTAGGTTGGCCTTGAACACAAAGATCCACTTGGCCTCTGCCTCCCCAGTGTTGGGATTAAAGGTGTGTCACCACTGCCCAGCAGAACATTCTCAACCTAGTGAATTTCAGGTAGTTTTTGTTTTTTTTCATTTCTCAATATTCTTTCTTAAATGAGGCTAAATTTGGATTTTAAAGATATTTTAATAATTTTGATCCTACTGCATGTACTGGCTTTGTGGGAGCCTAGGCAGTTTGGATGCTCACCTTACTAGACCTGGATGGAGGTGGGTGGTCCTTGGACTTCCCACAGGGCAGGGAACCCTGATTGCTCTTTGGGCTGACGAAGGAGGGGGACTTCATTGGGGGAGGGGGAGGGAAATGGGAGGCGGTGGCGGGGAAGAGACAGAAATCTTTAATAAATAAATAAAAGAAAAAATATGAGCAAAAAAAAGATATTTTAATAAGGTTTAAGCATGTGGATAAAGGGACTGTGTTACTCAAAAGAAAGTAAGACACACCCAGAAAGTGGTAAGGGCTTCTTAAAGAAGACTGTAGGGAAGTAAGCTTTTCATATTCTTGAAGGTGTGGTTGTGACT